TTGCATTTATACATTATATTGGGTTGGCAACTAAGTAATTGCCGATTTCAGTTATAGATCTGTCTCTTATACACATCTAGATGTGTATAAGAGACAGACATTATATACAGGGTTAGTACAATAATTCTTTCCTCTTGAAACTTGCCAAACTTGCATTTATACATTATATTGGGTTGGCAACTAAGTAATTGCCGATTTCAGTTATAGATGTCTCTCAATCCCATTTTTATGATATCCGTAAATGTTATATTATAAAATTATTATTATTATTATGTTATTTTTTATTATCCGTGAATGTTAGCAAGTGGACAAATTGAATGCAGCGGTCAAGGAAAAGCGACCAGAATTGGTCAATCGTAAAGGTGTCATTTTCCAGCAGGACAATGCTAGGCCGCACACGTCTTTGTCCACTCGGCAAAAATTGATGGATATTGGTTGGGAACTGTCTCTTATACACATCTAGATGTGTATAAGAGACAGACATTATATACAGGGTTAGTACAATAATTCTTTCCTCTTGAAACTTGCCAAACTTGCATTTATACATTATATTGGGTTGGCAACTAAGTAATTGCCGATTTCAGTTATAGATGTCTCTCAATCCCATTTTTATGATATCCGTAAATGTTATATTATAAAATTATTATTATTATTATGTTATTTTTTATTATCCGTGAATGTTAGCAAGTGGACAAATTGAATGCAGCGGTCAAGGAAAAGCGACCAGAATTGGTCAATCGTAAAGGTGTCATTTTCCAGCAGGACAATGCTAGGCCGCACACGTCTTTGTCCACTCGGCAAAAATTGATGGATATTGGTTGGGAACTGTCTCTTATACACATCTAGATGTGTATAAGAGACAGACATTATATACAGGGTTAGTACAATAATTCTTTCCTCTTGAAACTTGCCAAACTTGCATTTATACATTATATTGGGTTGGCAACTAAGTAATTGCCGATTTCAGTTATAGATGTCTCTCAATCCCATTTTTATGATATCCGTAAATGTTATATTATAAAATTATTATTATTATTATGTTATTTTTTATTATCCGTGAATGTTAGCAAGTGGACAAATTGAATGCAGCGGTCAAGGAAAAGCGACCAGAATTGGTCAATCGTAAAGGTGTCATTTTCCAGCAGGACAATGCTAGGCCGCACACGTCTTTGTCCACTCGGCAAAAATTGATGGATATTGGTTGGGAACTGTCTCTTATACACATCTAGATGTGTATAAGAGACAGATCTATAACTGAAATCGGCAATTACTTAGTTGCCAACCCAATATAATGTATAAATGCAAGTTTGGCAAGTTTCAAGAGGAAAGAATTATTGTACTAACCCTGTATATAATATAATCCTGATTATAATTGAATATATTCTCAACAGCAGTCTCCGCAGTTGCAATGTTAGTTACAGAGTTCCTCATAAGGAATGCAAGGAATTAACAAGAAACTATTATAAATTCGCTAAATATTACACAACTTGTTACGAGATGAAATGTAAAATTGCTTGAATAACATTGAACTAATTAATCTGTAATTAAACACTTGCGTCACCAGCAGCACGCTTTAATTATTTCTAATGCCATAGCGAAAAAATTAATTAACACTATAAATGACCAAAAATCGTGTAAACTGCTGTTTAATTTAGTTAGTAACGATGTGTATGATATCTGTTTTTGCAAGCTTAAATAAACTGGTAAGCAAACAAAATGCTGTTTGGGGTATACCGAGCAGCATCGTATTAATTGAACCTGAACGGTGGAACAACGCTCTTGAGAGACAGTGACTTTCGTTCTCTCGCAAAGTGAGAGTATAATTACACGGTTAAACCCTCATCTCTGCCAGAGAATTAAGCGAAAAATATGCGGAGTCAGAAATTGAATTAACTTTTTATAATTGTCATTTAATATTCCTTTCGAATTGAATATTACTGCTAACTTTGCTGTGGATACTTAATTAATAACTGTTCAAATAACACTTAAGGTAAGTATTAAAATTAAGAGATTTCAAAGAAATATTCCCTTTGATTTGTTAATACGATTTCCTTAAAAACTACTATCGTACAGTTTTTCCAAATTTTTGCTACATTAAAAATTATATTCTGTTCTCATGACAAAATAATACATTTTTTAAAAGTAATATCTTTAATAAACTAGGGTAAAATATGTTGTCTGAACTTATATATGTTTTGTTCAACAACATTTCTGTTTTTTTTTCTGGAAAGGAATATTACCTTTGGGAACTTCTTTAAGAATTGTTCCCTTGAAACAGATATTTTAGAATCTATTGCCAAAGTTCCATAGAAACAACTTATTTTGAAACGTTCATTATTAAAGGTTCTCTTCCTTAAAAGTATCACAAACGAAGCTCTGACCTGTATATTATTTTAAGAAAAATTAATACTGAATAGTTTTCAAAACATATATTTATATTTTATAAGTTCTAGTCAAATTAAAACATTCCATGCTCGAAATAGAACCTATGAAAAAGTTCCACAATGCTTTCAGTCCCCACAATAAGAAAACTTTTAAAATAATCTGTTTAAATAAAAACTGTCGTACTCAACTTATAAAAGTCTTTTCAACAAATTTCACATTTATAACGAACAACCTTATTGTACAATCTCTTCAAAAATACGTAACACATTTGAGATATTTTATCCCATTTTCGTTGCACTTCTTTCAAACCACCATAAAGAATAACCCCATAAAGATCCGCAGTCAAGTGACGAGCAATGGACGCGTTTCCGGTTGCTCCGGAAACGAACCGGGGCAAGTCATTCATTATTACCGGTAAAGTGCACAGTTCGCGGGAGTTCGGTGTGCGTGCAACGACTCCGTGAGCGACAGGCGCGTGCTCGGCGCTCGGATGCGTGAGATGCGTGAAATCCATTAGACCGCGTGGTACGCACGTGTCTAAAACCAGTTTCACGTGAATCTAAACGGCTCCCGCGAAGCGTATTTTCCAACGGAATGTCCGAGTCACGAGCGTCTCCCCTTAGGCCGAACCGTCGCGACGCCGATTCGTCACGAACGCTAGGAACGCTATACCCCAGATCGACGATAATACAATAAATATAATAAATATAATAATAAATAATAATAATATAATAATAATAAACGCGGATATGTATATTATAATAATATAATATATTATAATACTATAATTATATTATAATATATAATTATAATAATAATATAATAATTAATGATAATAATAATTACAATATATAATATATATTATTATATTATAATAATATAATAAACGCGGCACCGGTTGAAAATGTGCAAAAGCGGTGAGTATGCGCCTTTCAAGTACAAGACTATCCGCGCGAGAACTAAGTCTGAACTAAGTTCTTCGATTCTCTAGTACGTTAGCTTTAACCCCTACCGCTGGACGCAGGAATAATTTAATACGGAGTAGCGCTGCTTTTGCGACATTGACTTTCATCGTGATTCATACGACGCGGTGGTTAATATTAAAAGATTCTATGTACGCGCCGATTATAAGCGTTTACTAGGTTTAACACCGGCTAAAGGGAAGTAGCCGTTGGTATATTAAGACGTCTAAAAATACTGCTGACAAATCGTACAGGCGGTATTAATAATATACTTGAAACATAAAAAATGCTCGAACACGAACACGACGTTGTATCCGCGTACTGACAGCACGAAAAATTGCAAGGCAAGTCCTGGCGGTATCGACTATCGAGTTTAAGGACCATCTAACCTTCCTAGACGTGTGTGCAGCTTGACAGCACTCGAAGCTGTGCGAGGGAAGTGAGGTTAAGTATCGACAGAGCAGACGACAATTTTGCGGAAATTCTACGAAGTGACAGCAGAATTTCGCGAAAATCTTCGAGATAAACTGGTCGGAGGAGCGAGCAAAGCGTGCGCGATCATCAGCTGGATACAGATGAACTGGTTATTGTTTCTTTCCGATAGTGGTTCGCGAGGAACGAAGAAGAGCGTGCGCCAGTACGCGGAAATCTTGACTGGAAGATAGCTCGTGGAACGAAGAAGTCGTGTAATTTCGGTCAATTAAGCTATCCGGCGGCTTGTAATTGGCCACAATTCGTGGTAAAAATAAACAGAGCGAGTTGACAGTAGTGCTGGCAGGGTGGCACAAACGTGCGTAGGAGATCATCTCGACCCCGAGCGGATACACAGTCGTTTCCGATCAGAAAACACGTATTTCCCGCCAAAGGCCGGTAGATGATTGGGTACACACGGCTCGCGCGGCTCGGGAATTATGTAACTATTGTTGCACGACTAGTAAATAAAAGCTACTTACCGCTGATCGAGGCGAAAAACGTCAGGATCGCGCGCACACACACACGTTACGCCTCGCACTGCTTGAGACAAACTGCCGTGTCGTGGCGCTGCCGGTCGCCGCCATCTTGGATCGATCAGTCGGCTCCAGGAAACCGCACCAGTTTTTAAATGTCGAAACCTTCTGCCGAGCAATTCTAACAATCTTCGTTAAATTAATAACGTCATAGTAGAGTTCGTTATTTTGTCATTTTTACAAAATAATATACTTACCGAACAATGCTTTTGCCTCATCTACAGTAAATTTTCTTTACTTTTGCATATATAATTGTTGTTATCTAGAAGAACCATGTGCAACATTAATTTATTTTTAATATATTTTTTCTTTGATGTTGGCCGCATTCATATAATTATTCCATTATTTCTGTAATCTAAATATAAAGAGGATTTACTTGACTTTCGAAAATGTAATCGCATTTATCTTTGAGAACCAATTGCAACATTCCTTTGAAATGTATTTTATATTTGTAAAACAAAAGTGTTCTCACTTAATCTAATTAATTTAAATATTTTGAAGGGAATTAGATTTTTCGAAGCAAGTTGCTTTGACAAAAATCACGTGTACTATTGGGAATGATAAACAAAATGTGGTACTATAGCAAATCACATAATTATTCTATGATATTTGGTAGAACAGGAGGATGATGAAAGAATTCAAATTATTACGTGTCTTCCAATCATTACTTTCATTTAATCTGCACAAGATCGAAACACAAATATTAACGATCAATCGCTTAACGCGCGCTGATCATTCACACATTTCATTCATATATGAATATACACAATGATTCTATAACATCTTCGCGAACAACGCATTGTAGTTCAAGGCAATTACACTGACGATTAAATAAATAACGCCCGGAGGCATGTCGGTGCGCACACTATCCCTTTGGAAAAGTACAAAAACAAATGATAATTTCAAAGACGACAAATGCAGAGTTTTATGTGAATCTTAAACAACGCCGATTCGAGCACAGATTCATTCAATATAGCACGCGTGCTATATACCTCCCTTTTCTTTTACCGCGATTTAATCTTTTTTTTTTGTTTGTTTTCATTTCTCTATTCTTCACAATTTTAATTCACAAATTTCAAATAACACACTCCTTTCACATACATAATTTACCTACATACATAACTTATTAGGATCATTGTCGATAATAATTAAATAGTTCTTAAGTAGCGTAGAGAATTATATTATATATATTTATATTGTTATGTATATATTAAATTAAACGCTTATGTCGAGAATAATTTACCAAGTGAATCACTACACTCTGTATGACTTACGCACATGTAAGCTCATTGTTCTCCTTTCACATGGAAGTTTTAAATACACGTAGAACATTCTTTGACGTTTTTCCCTCCCTTTCTCTCTCTCTCTCGCTCTCTCTCTCTCTCTCTCTTTCTTTCTCTCTACTTGTTTCGGTAATCTCTATTAATCACGAATAAAAACGACTTACGTAATACTTAACAAGTATTAGAGTTCCACGCTTCATCGGTTTCTCACTCATGATTTGCAGCTAATTAGCTCATACTATTTGATTCCTCTTGCATCGTTTCACACTGCGTCAATTCCACAGTTGCTCTAATCATTAGAATTCCCAATAAATCGATACATACGGCAGCCTTTACTGCGAATAGTGATACACGCATATCAAACTATATAATATGTATATCCGTTTGCTTGCATATAATAATATAGTTGTATTGTTAAGATCCAACAAGAATCACCGATTCTCATTCATGTCGAGTATAAATTATGAAATAGTTTCTGTTCTCTTTCATCTATTTGGAATATCTTTAGAAGGTGTGCGCGTTACGGCAAATCCCGCAACCTAACGCGAATTCTTCTCCGGTCGGCGGATGTTTCACGTGCAATGGACATTCATCCCCGTCCAGTTGTTTTGCTTTAGGTCCTAAACAGAACGGAAAGAATTTCAATAGTAGTTGTCAACTCTTCTTCAGTTGTCATGTCTTAAGCATTATCAGAGAATGAGCTTACCCGCAGGACACGATGGTAGTTTGCTTTTTGGAATGATAATGACACGTTGGAAATCTTCGTGGCAGGGGTTACAGAAATGGGTAGTGCCGAAACAGAAAAAGACAGCCACCGAGCAACAATAACGACATTTATACTCGAGAAAGTCTGCCGCGTGCTTCGGGCACATCTGGGCTCTTGCAACATCGCTGCAACCTCCGCACACTAATTCCGTGGGGTCGAAGGTTTCCCCGCCTACCTGTGCGTCGCACCGCGCCTCGCCCCCATAGTAGGCCTTTTGACACTTGTAGCAAACATAATACGCGTAACGCTCCATCGCGTACGCAGCAGGATCTTGGAACCTTGCACCTGGTCCGAAGGCCGCTTCGGTCCTGCAATAACATAATTCTGTTACAACCTGAGGAATACACAGGATCATTAGTTCTTCATCTTCACGCTTACTTGTACAATCCTTCGTACTCCAATCGCATCAAAGCTTTTCTCCTGACGTCTTCGTAAAGCTCCTTGATGCTCGCCAGTTCTTCGGCCAGAGTCGGATGTTCCATAGGGATCTTGCAGATCGGGCAAAGAGAAAATCCGAATGTGATCCTAGGGCCCACCCATCGCTTCATAAGGACGTGCTTGCAGCAATGCAAATGGAACACGTGGCCACACTGCAACTGAATCGCTGGCGCGGCTGATAAAGCTTCCGTGAAGCAAATCATGCACATGTCGTCGGCGTCTTGTTTCAAATCGCTGTCCGACAGACACCTGTGCAGACAGGGCAAGCAAGTCTTCTCGTTGCGAACACCCCCGCAGATGTGCCCGCAAGAGTGAACCTTGCTGCACGCGTTCTTGGCATGCTCTTGGCAGTCGTTGTCCGTGCAAATATTCCCTATCGCTAGCAGACCCGTGTTCCCGGTGATCCCGCAGAATCTGCACATTCCTGACGTAGCCCCGACCGGTTTTCTCGGGGTACCATCGCGGAATTCTACCAGAGCTTTCAACGTTCTGCTGTCAGCCAGAGCTAAGATCCAAAAGAGCTTCGTCCGGCCGCAACCTTCGTGAAGATCAACGCGTATCGCCTCCTCCTCCTCTTTGCACACCTGTCTAATGTGCATGCGAGCTTTCCTATGAAGATGCAGGATTCTGTCGCACTCCCCGCACAGATTTCCGCAATCGTTGCATTGAATGATCGCTGTTGTCTCGCCATCGTCATGATTATTGCACGTTGGCTGCAGAAATATTTGATTGTCAACTAGCTTCCTTCAAAGAAGCTTTAATGAAGAATGGAATCTTACTCGTGGTGGCGGTGGTTGTCCTTCCGAACCAGTCCATTGGCCCGAGGACAATCTCTCGACGTGATCAGAGTCCAAAACGCACAAGGATGAAAGGGCCAGCCATAATGTTGGCGTTCGAAGACATTCCGCGGGTTCTCGGCTCGTTTCGTCTAATCTGGTGAGGTTTAAAATGTTTTCGGCAATGGCTGCCTTCGTAACGGACGCCCATTCTTCCGACAGCTTACCCTGAAATTAGTTTCAAACGTGAGTGGTCTATTATCGAGTACAATTCAAGCATATACACTAACCGATGCCATGTCCTTCAGAAGTTGAATGATCACTTCAGCTAGTTTCCGAGTCATGGTCCCTCTCAACCACCATCTTGCCCCGACGTAACGTTTCGGGTGAATACTGGTAGCCAGTGAAACAGTCTGCAACGCTTTCCCGTTGTTCTCCTTTCCTTTCACCTTGACTTGAACGGTCAACGATTTGGCGATGCAACTTAGGAAAACGTCCAATATTCCCGGGGCATTCTCGTCGAATTCCGCGTTGTGGGTGAAGCTATTGTTCGCAACAGAGACGATGCTGAAGTCCGTGGGTGGCAGTCGACCAACGCTGGTTACGTTGGCTAGCACCTCTGGTTTAATTTCTGGTAAGATACGTTTCAGTAGAGCTGTCACCTGGAACAGCAGAAATAATGTCGATCAGTGTCACTGCTGAAATAGAGAGCATACATTTCGGATGGATCGAAAGCATACTTGACGCTGCACTCTGGCTGATCCAGTATGCAACAAGCTCAACAAGTCAGTCAATAATCCATATTGATGCGACAAATAATACTGCCCAACGGCGCTTCCGCTCAAGGCTAGCACCATAGACAACATCTCGAAGCAATATGTATCGGCTGCCTTCGATTGGTCACTGTTGTCGCTCAGTAAACTATTAGTTGGCGTCGGTGAATACAGCACTGTCTCCCATTCTTCCTTCAATCGAATCGTCTCTTTGCGAATAGCCTCGACGATATGTGTGCAGACTTGCTTTTGCAGATGCGTTAGATTGTTGCTGCTAAACAGAATTCCAACCATGTGCTCTCGAAGGTCGTTGCTGTCTTCCACGTCCTCGTTGGCACCCTCTGTAGATTCTAGTTGCTGTTGCTGTTGATCGCCTTGTATTAGCTTGCCAAATACCTGGAGGACAGACGAAGAATTATTAGAAACTCTGAGACATGGGATGACAATGACAAATTCATACACAGTTTACCTGAGAAGTAATCAGCCGAAAAACTTTCAATGTTTCCGCTTCGCAATTCCTCTGTTGGATCCTTTGTGCACTCAGCTGTTTCCCAACTTTCATCGTTTCTCCTTCGATCTCGCCCAGAATTCGTATTTGACGGACCCGCAAGGAATTGTCCGCGCCTTTCAGTTCGAGACCTATCGCAACGTGCCGTGAATCTGCGAGAAAAATAACATTTGTATTTATAAGTGAGTAGATACAATTGAAAATAGTCAAGAGATCGAAAGAATCTCTGAACATTTTGTTCGAATCATTAAATAAAGAAAGACATTTTTGTTAAACTACTTGAAATTGTTACTTTACATAAAGACATTATATATACACTATATATATATTATTATTTATTATTATATAGTTTATATATATTTATTATTTATTATACTTTATATATAATTTATATATATAGTTTAACAAAAATGTCTTTATGTAAAGTAACAATTTCAAGTAGTTTAACAAAAATGTCTTTCTTTATTTAATATATATAACGAGTAATGTATATATATACATTACTCGTTAAGTGAACTTATTTATTCACTCTCACCGGTGACTGGACAATTGATCCAACCAGCTGAGCGACTCTCGATCTCCACGGTCCTCAGTTTCACCATTTCGTCGGCATTATTACCAGATTGAAATGTTACGCTAGATACCTTATGCTGCAACATCGATGCCGTGAGTAACAAATTCCTTTCGCAAAACGAGAATATGGGACTTACCGTTAAGTCACGACAGTTATCAATGTGAATGTAGATCATACGAGGAAGAGAATGGGCACCGCAGTTGATAATAATTGTCTTCGTTTTATTGCGATCCTCGTCGCCGGACTCCCAGAAAGTTTCTGTTGAATTATCAGTCAAGTTCCCGATCATAGCTTGCCTACTGGAGGCTTTGATTTTAATACCGGGCGTTAAATCTTTCAGAACCTCCACGGAACTAGTTATCTGCTGGGAATGAATCGATTGATGGCTCTCGTGCATGCTCGTCGTAACGTCCTCGTCCTCTTCGTATCTCGAGAGGATTTTACTAATGTTACTGAACACGTGACTTCTGTGGAGAAACATATGATCCGCGGGGGTGAACTTGATTCCCCAGCACCGGATAGCTGCTTGTTGAAGAGGCGAGCCTAATACATAGAATGTATAAAATGTAATTAGATCTTCCAATTATGATTTAATTCTAACTGGACATAATTTTAGCAAGTAAATACTTACCAAGGGGTGGTAGAAGCATCAGATCTGCAATCGTTTGTAATAAAGTGTGAAAAACTGTTGGCAACGGATTAACAGACTCGCCTGCTATCACCAAGTCGCTTAAAGGATGCTCGCATACGTTGATCATGTCCTTGAAAATTAAACACACGTTACTGCTATTTAATATACATCAAATATTTTACTGTATCTATTAACCGTCGTGGTGGTAACTTTTATAAAAGCTCTTCGTTAACAGCAATAATTTAAATTGTATAAAACGTACTACAGAGTAATTAATAAATATTCATCTCTGATCCAAAGCAAATGTTAAATATTAAATTTTGTTCACCAGATATAATAATTGTCACAACTACTACTATAATAATAATTGTTGTTACTTTCGTTGGCAAAATTTCTTCCCTTGAAGGATGGTCTATATTGAAGAATCGTTTTTGTGATTCGATAAAGATACTATATCCTAGAAAACCTATCGGCAGCAACTATTTCCAGAAACTTGAATTTTTTGGGGAGTAATGGTAGACAATCGAGGGCAGCAAGGTTTGTCATAAGTCTGTTAATCTCATCTCATGGATCTGTGCGTATCGAATGTTAATATTCAACTACTATCTCAATGTTTACATCGAACAGCGCTCGTAATACCATATGTATATCGAACTCTGTACTACATACATGTTCGTCCCTTTTCTCGGTTCGATTCTCCTCTTCGGTCGCATCCACGGGCTCAGGTGACACCGCCGGTATCAGAGAAGCAGAAAACCACCACAGCAAATCATGCAGGCATATCGGTTGTGTAACACTTCTTAGTAACCAATTTAACGCTTGCATCGCGTACACTCGGCAAGAAGCGCGGCGCAACGCCTGTTTCATGGCGAGCTGTAAATGCTGCAGATTGTGCTGCTGAAGAACGAAAAGCATCACGGGTCGCATCAGGATTTCTATTCTATCGTTATTCGCAGCTTCCGTTTGGCTGGTCGATACGATCGCGGATTGGTCCATCGACGGTACCAATTTTTGTAGAGCGGCGGACGGATAGCATAGTAAGGACAAGCCGCCATCTGAACAAAGAGAAGTCTCTGGGTTACTACATCTCTCAAACCAGCGAATCTGTTTAACACGTTGACTGCCACGCGTATTTACAACAAAATCTCCTACGGGCCACCCGTGCCGCTATAGAAAGCGTGCGCATTCATTAATTCATGTCTGTTTCTGTTCCTGCATGATCAGTTGGAATCTTTGCCGAGTACCGAATGGTATAACTTAAAATCTCGGCCCTTATTTTTTTCAATAATGAAAAGAGATCGGATTGCCCGGAAGGAGAAGCATAAATAGAATTACATCGTCAGATTCTGATTCGGATACTGATAAATACGATCTTAGTGATAACGAATGTTATGAAGATACTATTGACGGGATTTTACGAGAATTGGTCATGGAAGAAGAAAGAAATGTTGATGATACCGAGGAAGCTACAGTTC